CCGCCCGCCGCGCCCGCGCCCCCAGCGCCGGCCATGAGCGCGAGCGACGGCGATGAGATGTGGTCCAGCAGGTCGCCGGGCTCCAGCGCCTGGTGGTGATGGTGGTGGTGGTGGTGGTGCGCCAGAGGCACGGTGGACGTGGACGTGCAGGGCACGCTGTTCATCGTGTGGTACGTGGCGTCCGGCTTGAAAGGGTGGCTCTTGCCCTGGGACACCGCGATGTCCACAGCCGCCAGCGCCTCGGCCCGGGCCAGCAGCGTTTCATCCAGGCTGGCGAAGAGGTTGCTCTGCAGCTGCAGGCGACACAAACCAAACCAAAAAAAAAACCACAAAACCAAAAAAGAAAAAGAAAAAAAACCAATACAAAAACACAAGCCGGAAAGCACAACAAGCAAAAGGCAAACACAAAGCAACCAAAATAACAGCAAGGGTGGGCAGAGTGGAGAGCGGGCGGGAAAGACGAAACGGAACGGGGACATTTAGTAGGGGGCAGAGGAGAAGGGACAGGAGCAGAGGGGCGCAGAGGCACGAGGAAAAGGGGGACACAGGAACACATTCCGGGAACGGGCGTGGGAGACGAAACAGGAAGGGGAAAGAAGAAGAAGAAATGGAGATGTAACTCGAAGCTGGGGACCCGTGTCACACACCCGAGCACGCACAGAGACCGCCTTTCCGATGCGTGAAATTAGCAGAGAAAGTGGAGGGAAGTCGAGAGTCGTGGCCCCTGAACTCCCCTCTCCGGTCGCAGGCGCTCGACAGTGAGGCAGAGGCGGACGGGCGCGAGACTCTAAGCACCGCCGGCAGAGCCCCGCCGCGGGATTCCGCCAACCCTGCCCGGGACGGGGCGCGGCAGCCCCGCATGCGGCTGCTCGGGGGAGGGGCGGGCGCGGGGCGCTTACCGGCGGCGTGGGCAGGCAGGCCCGCCGGATGGCCTCGGAGCTGGAGTGCAGCGACGGGTACTTGTGCTCAGGGAGGGTGGGATGCATGGCAAAGTGGGGCTGCTTGCTGTTCATGGACATCATCTTGACCGCTTGGCATGTAAATCCACAAACTCCGAAAGTCCGCGGGAAAGTGCGCACGCCGGCCCCCGGCCTCCCTTCCGAGGTGGCAGCCGCGGACGGTGGCGTCCGCGCCGCGGGCTCCTGCTGCTCCTCCTGTCGCCCGGCGCTCCCTGTGACCGCGCAGAGTGCCGCGCGCCGGCCTCGCGGTCCCGCTTCTCCGAGAGCTCTAGCCCCGCGCGCAGACGGGACGCACTCCTCTTACACCTGAGCCCCACTTCTCGCGGCCGGCCCGGGGAGCTCTCGCGAGAGCTCGCAGCCCCTCCGCGTTGACAGGCATCAGCTGTCTCCGTCTGTCTGGCGCGCGCTCTTCCTTTCGGCGGCGCCGTGCGTCTGCGCGCACGCGCGCACTCGTTGGGCAGCGACCAGCGCGGGGCAGCCGCTCTTATAGTGACCACCAAGAAGGACAGCGCAGGTGATGCACCTGTAGCTGCTCTGGCATGCGCACTGCAAGCGTCACCTTTCCACCGCTGGTCTGGAAGGATCGGACCGCTCAGCTATTGTCTAGGGTAGGCACCTTTTGGAGGGAGAAAGACTACAGGCACGCACTCCTCTCTGTGGGGTTTTTTCCCCCTCCTCTCCCTCGCAAGCTCTGAATATATGCGCATTACTTAGAACTCCTTTCTGGGATGCCTAACAAGCACTTATATAATGTATACAGCTGGCCGTTTGTATGTTAAATTATGACCACGAATTCCTCTCTATACAGAGAAAAATGACACAGAAATGCGGACGGTGCTGTCTTTTACACCAAGAACCTGTTTCTTTCAAGGTTTATAAATAGGATCCCGGAGAATAATCGCGGTGACAGACGTTTGTTTGAAGCAGTCAGACTCTATCGATTTCCACATAATTTAATTTCCTCCGCATACTTTGTTGTTGTTGTTAATATAACTGTGTCAGGCACCACTAGTGACAGCCACTTAGAAGCCACAAGGAGCATGTGCTTTTTATTCGGAAAAAGCTGTTGAAATGAAATTGTGCGTTTCTCTTATTGTTTATCTCTAACCGTGTACAAACCCACGTTTCAAACAATCTCCAGGTGATCTGAGGGTTCTAGTAATCAAAAGGAAAAAATAGTTACCAGACTGTAGCTAGGATCCTTTCCTCTTCTCAACACACACACACACGCCCTTTATTCTGGAAACTCCAGAAAAAGAAAACCTCTTCAGAAAAAAAAAGAAAGGAGTAAGATGTGAAGAGAACTTTCTTTTCTCTTCCATCGTTTTCACTCTTTGACTCATCTCTTTGCTTAGATTTCGTCTTCAATAGAAAACAAGAGGAAGTTAATTTATAGGAAAGTATGACTCAAAATATTAATTCAAATGAATTTGAAAGCAAGCACACGCTCTGGCCCCGCCTTTAACAGTTTATTTTTAATTACTGTGAAATCAAGACCTAAGAAGAATAAATCAATTAGTCAACCTGTTACATGGCCCTCGTGTGGCAGACAGATCAAGGCAGTCCTTAGGGAGCTGCTGTTCAGGTGCCTGAGTCTCTAGGGACCCAGTGCTTGCCCCGGGTGATAATAATGGCCCAGATGTTATCACATCTGCCACAGGAGAGCTGGAGAGCAGCAAAGGGCTGCTTAGGGGGAATAGAAATCAGATAACTAATGTCTCAGGTCTCTCCCACATCAAGGAGGTCTGTATTTCCACCAAAGAGCACAGCTCATTTCTATAAACCCATGGACTTGCGTACCCGTGGATTTTGTCTTTCCTCTGAATAAGCCCTTGCATATTTAGCATCCTCACTCACCTATTCAGATCCAAGAAGAGCCCATAGGCGTCATCCTGGCTTTTCTTTCCTTTTTTCTTTTCCTTTCTGTTCTCCCCCCCCCCCCCCCCGCCCTTCTAGCTCCAGAGGCAAGTGAAAAGGATGTTCACTTGCTGGTGTGAGAAGGAGCCGAGGCTCCATCCATTATAGGTTCCCCTGGGAGCGCTAAATGCAACTTTATCTCAACGGGGAATGGACGAAGAGCGTCGCTGGAGGGGAAGAGTGAGCCCTGTGGTCGCTGTCGCAATGGGTATCTGGGTTTAACCTAATCCTTCCTGACACCCGTCGAGGCCGACGGAGAGCTCCTGGTGGGGGGTAAGAAAGCTCTCCCACAGCGCCCCACCCTTCCAAGGTCTAGCACCTGCAGCCAGCACTCCGCCTTCCGGGAAACGCTGGACCAGAGGGACCCTGACAGGTGCAGGGCCCACAGAAAGGCAAACAGCCCAGGTTTAAGGCCAGGTGGATCCACAGGGGTGGGGAAGAAGAGAGTTCCTAAGTACCCCAAGTCAACCTTGGTTTACCCTTTAGACACTAGGAGTCCTTTGCCCCAGGAGAAATATAGCAGCCGGAAATCAGGAGCTTACCAGCCTAACAAAACTCCCTTCTTTGCTTAGCTTAGTACTGCACAGTACTTTTTGAGCTCTTGGGACTGCAGAATACTTTTTGAGCTCAGGCTGAGGCTAGACTTTTGTCTAGAATATCCTCCACACCCCCCAGGGACTAGAAATGTGAAAGGTGTGGATACAATCCTTTCTTTTCCTCCCCTCGTGGACTGGATCCCGTCTAAACCACTTCGGTTTTCCACCATGGCATGTGTAACAGAGCTCCATCGATCAGTACAGTGTTTAGGAAAGGAGAGAAGTTAGCTGGGGAGGGTGAAAAGAAAAAGACAAGAAAAAGTCAACCCCTGAACAAGCAGGGGTTGACTGGAGGTTACTAGAAGATGCCAGACTGGGTCTCCTTAAAAGGGAGGTGGAGACTGGGCAGGAGGTGTGTGCTTGCACCAGGCAGAGCTGTGAATCTTCATTCCAGCTTGTTCTTTTTGGAAACCAATTATTTCACCCCTCCTTTATTTACTTGCTACCTTGTCTCCCTTCCCCAAAGGCTTACTGAGCCCTTTCTAGTCTGGCAAGGCACTGGAGATGAAATGAGGTATAAAATAGGGATACCTGCCCTCCAAGAGATGACACCTGTGAGCACTGGAAGGCATAAGAGAAAGGTGTTTATGACACAGGTTTAATGGGTGTGAGGAGAGGGGATTTCTCTCATCAGAAATATGGGGTGATGCCTGAAGAGCTTTCATCTGTACATCCCTGCTGGACCTCAACTCCAGGAAAAAAATGTGAGACAAGAAATTCCTTGGACCTTATCAAGCCCACGAGTGGTAAAATGGAGAGGGTGGTGGGGCCTGGACTCTGCTTACCCATATGTCACTGCTTTGTTTTCCTGAGTTGGCAACTGTTGTAATTAGTTGGTTCCTGCCTGTGCTAATGATGCCCACATGGGGTCTGAGCCTTGGCATAGATTCCTGGGCATTTGTCCCCACCTTTTTCTCCTTTAATGACCATTAACCCCCCCCCCCATACACACCATCTCATAGCTTTGCATTTTATCAAGAGAAGGATAATGAATGCACAGCTATTGACTTCCAAGGAATTTCCACCCCTAGGACAGGGAGTCTATCATCTGGATCAGAGACACATTTCTTTCCCTCATTAATTAATTTTCTCCTCCTCCTTTGGTAAGCCTCCCTTCGAATTTCCTTTGGCAGCACCCCTTTCCTGAGTTCAGGGAGTGGACTGGTTGCTTGAAGGGAAGACTGGCTGGCCCAGGAGAAGTCTCCTCACCTTTGACTCAGCTGGGACAGACTCCCCACCCACCCAGAAGCTGCCTATTTGGGCACTGCCTTTCTTTTTCCAGTAGGACTCACAGAAAGTTGACACAGCAGCCAGTACCCTCCCTGTTCTACCACAGGGAGGACTGAACTCAAATTGTTTTGATTGAAGATTCACTCTAGGAAATGTGGACACAAGTACCTGGAGGCTGTGTATCTACCTATGTGGGGATGGTGTGGGATCCTAAACTCTAGAGGGAACCTGGGGCTCTAGGCCCACCTTCAGGCCCTGCTACCTCGGTTTGGACAGCCGAACCCAGAGCTCTGATCATTGCAGACTGGCGCATCAGGTATTTAGCTCACTGGCATTGCCTAGTTTAAAAGGAAGTACTGTTCTCCCAGAAGGAAGAAGCCAGTGTGAAAGTTCTGGCTAGGGAGGAGCAGGCCAAGGGTTCAGGTTTCAAGTCTGAAGAATGGGGCTGTGCTTGGGCCATCCCTGTGGCCTCCTGCTCAGGCCCTGTCTGTCCTCAGTGTGGAGCAGAGGGAGAACTGATGCAGCACTTTCCTTCCCCCAGGGCCACTTTCCCAGGGACATGGACAACTCAATGCCACTCTCTCTTATTACGCAGCGGGACCTGTACCTCCCCAGTGACTGCCACTGGCTCCTTGAGGGTCCCTCCTCTGGTGGCCCAAGAATCTCCTCTGTCAGCCCCTTACGACTTGACAAAGACCCCACTGGCTCATGCTGGGTGGTGGGGTGGTACCCCTGCCCTTTCTGGCCCAAGATGCCCTCTCCATCGATGGGGCTAGGATGGAGGCCACTGTCCTCCTCCTCTGCCCGAGGCCACCTCTCCCTCGGTCCTCCACAATCCAGAGTGAGCGAAGCCCTGGAGCTAGGCGGGATCTTCTCTTCTAAGGCTCCCAGCTCAGTGTGCAGACTGGGCTCCAGCTAGGACAGGCAGACAAAATTCTCAAACAAACCAGTGACAATCCATCGTTTTCCTTCCTTTAGCCGTTAAAAGAAGTGTCACTCACGTTGCGGACATTTTTCTAGATGTGGACCCTCACACTCCGAGATGCTGCTGATGACCTTTCGACGAAAGAGGTCCTAGCCTTTTGTTGGACTGCTGGTCACTCCGTGGGCGTTACATAAACAGACCTTTATCTAAGTATATCTCGCCACCCTAATCTCTCTGTGCACAGAAAACGCACCTAACCTCGCAAAAGCCCCCAGGGTGATGCCTGACAACAGTGTCTCTCCTAGGAGGCACCCCCTCCACCCGCCAGCCAGTTGACAGAACCACTTTCAAAGCCCGAGTGCACAAAGTTGTACCGCTTGACACAGCCACAGGACCCTGTGATTTATTCCCGAAGAGGCAGAGGACCCTCCACCCCCCGCCCCGCCCAGGCCAGCCCCCTCAAAGCTGGAGGAGAACGCGGGCAGAGAAGGCGGCTGCTTCCAGGTCTCCGGGTTAAAGCAACAACGACAAAGCCACAACGGACGCACCGGCCGGTGACCCCACGCGAAAGGTGGGAGTCCTGTCGCCTGCCTCTCCCCAGACAGCCGGCAGCCGGCCGGCTGCTCTGCCCCAGCCGCGCGCACATCCTGGACGCCGGAGCCCAGCGGGCGCGAACAA